TGCAAGTTATGTGGCCGTGCTTGCCTGTCTGTCTTAGTCGGGCTGTGTCGGATTTCATTCGAGCGTGGGCCATATTCGGTTGTAGAATTGCCGAATGTTGCGGACCTGAAGCTATACAAGAAATTGCGGCCCCACAAACTATTCCTCTTCTCGTCTACAGAGGTGGGGGAAATTTTTGCACGGAGATATGTAAGCTTTGCATGATCTGGTCGAGGGATGTGTGGCTCTGGAGCCCAAATGGCCCAAATCAAATGGCTTGAGCCTATCAGCCGGAGCAGGGTCAGCAAAAGAACCACCAAGTTGAGAACGGGAAAGGAGGCACATCCCGCAAAAGCGCATGTGAAGTCCTGTAGTCTCCTTGCTGGACCGAATAGATAGCCCCAAATCTGAAGCTCGCTGGATATCAAAACAACTTCAAGCTTCGGGGGCTCCCTAGAGATATCACTCAGGATCAACAGTCTGGAAAACAGCTAGCCTCGCCGAACGTGGCGACGGCGTTCCTGCCCAGGAAGCTTTGCGGTTTAAGGGCATCAGGGTGTACGGGTAACTCGTACCGGCAATTAGCAAACCCCAAGGTTCAGGTTGTGGGGCCGTAGGTTCGGGTGACAAAAAAGCGACCCCTGCGACCGCTCACAACGGATCGAGCCTCAGCTCAGGAAATGCAGCGAGGCATCGGCGAGCCTGTCTCTCGAAGCAATTGCACTCACAGCAGGTACGGCTGGTACTGATACACTGGGCATAACCAAGAACCGTGGCACGACCATCACAAATGCTGTTGCGGCCACAGTGACCACAACTGTGAATGAACATCTGTGTGCTCACGTCGTCGCGGTGCTCAAGCATCATGTGCATGTATGGATGTATGTATCTGCATGTATGTATGTCAGCATGCATGCATGCACGCATGCATGCGTGCATGTGCGTGTATGCATGTGTATATAAACATATACAGACATACATTCATTCATTCATTCATTCATTCATTCATTCATTCATACAAATATACAGAGAGAGCGAGAGCTTTAGTTTATCTATGTGTTTATTTACTCAGAAGATTCTTTAAACTTATATGTGGATTTAAAGATTATCTACACTTCTGTTTATCAACATGTGTACGTGTTGGTTCGTTTATAAACTATCAATATACAATTTCGCTTGTTTAAAATATGTATCCGCTCGCATTAATGACCGTATTCGTGCTATTTCATTTGTTTTCTTGTTCATCTACGTAGCTATTATCTACGTGCGTATCTATGCAATTATCCGTTGCTGTATCTGCGTGCGTATCTATGTAAAGATCTATCTATTTACCTGCTTGTTTATCTATGTACATAGGGTTCCCTTCAAAAGGTTTGCTGCCAGCCACCATGCCGTCGCCGTTGTCGTATAGTCGTCGTTGTCGTCACAGTCACCGCAGTCGTCGCAGACGTCGCAGTGGTATCGTGGTGGCAGTAGCAGTCGTAGTAGCAGTAGCAAAAGCAGCAGTAGAAGTAGCAGTAGCAGCAGCAGCAGGAGCAGAGGCAAAGGCAGAGGCAGTGGCAGTGGCGGTGGCAGAGGCAGAAGCCGCAGTAGTTGGCAGTAGCAGCAGTAGAAGTAGAAGTAGTAGAAGTAGTAGTAGTAGTAGTAGTAGTAGTAGTAGTAGGAGCAGCAGCAGCAGCAGCAGCAGCAGCAGCAGCGGCAGCAGCGGGCTGGAAGAAAAGAGGAGGAGGAACTGTTCGAGGAGGAGAGCGACGTCGCGATTCCATGCCTCTCGCGCCCGCAATGAAAGCTCGAAGTTGCCAACCACAAAAAAACCCTACAGGTAATGTCGCCTCGACTACTGCCGCCGCAAGGCAGTGGATTGCACGGCCTTCTGTTGCAGTACTAGCAGTGTGTAGGGTGCAGGGCTCGGGCTAGGGAGTTTAGGGATTGAAGGGGCTTGGGGTTCGGGAGCTCTGGGGACGCTAGGGTTGGTCTGTCACGTCGTCACCACCATACTGAGAGAAGTCCACTGGTAAGATGGGAGAAGTGTTGGCTGAAGCCTCCGCAGCTCGAAAAAGATGCACTAAGCGTCAGAGGTTGGACGTGGCGTCCTTGCACCCCTCAACTAAGATCGAATCCTAAGAATTTAAATCGACACCCTGCGAACCCTACAGCTGACCCCCTTTCAAGCCAAGAACAACACTCTGCCTCACTGCCTCCGAGCTCTACCACGTCCTGAACACTTGACTCAAAAGTAAAATGTCTGTTCCCAGAGTATAAGCCCGGCTCCCAAGACTCGACTCCAAAATGCAGTCACCAGAACTCCAAGCTCAAAGACCCAACGTCTCGTAGCCCTGCAACCCTTAAATCTTTAACTCGAAGAACACCCAATCCCCACCCTCAACCCCCAAAAAAGGCTCAAAGCCACGGCGCCCACCGCCCCATTGCCGAGCCCCAGCTCCGCGGAAGCGGAGCCCCCAAGCTGCAGCGGTGGAGGGGTGGAAGCGGGGCTCGAAGGCTTGCGAGGGTTTAGGGCTTCGGGCTTCTAGGGCTCTGGGGTTTAGGGTTTAAGGTTTAGGGTTTAGGGTTTAGGGCTTGTAGGGCTTGTAGGGCTTGTAGGGCTTGTAGGGCTTGTAGGGCTAGGGGTTTAGGGCTTAGGGAGCGGCTTTAAGGGAAAGCTGGTTGTAAGGATGTCAGGCTGGGGCTTCTCTGGTGGTGGGTTGGGCTTGCAGGAATTTGGGGTTCAGTGCTTAGGATTGAGGTTTGGGTTTGGGATTTAGGATTTGGTCTGAATTAATTCAGGTTCCGGGTTTATGCTCGAAGGGTTTTAGGGCTAAGCATTTGAGGGCCTGGGGTTCGTACAAGGGTAATTAGGATTTGCGGGTTTAGACTCAGAGCTTCGTGGACCGTGACGGCTTGCGGCATCGATTTGACCCTTTAAGCTTTCTAAGTCTCCAGGTTTAGGATCGCCTTAGCAAGCTTCGACCTTCGATGCTGCCTCAGAGGGGTCAGTAGGACTACTCTTGTTCCTGTTGGTGCGGCGGTGGCGGTTTACCTAAGCTGCACACCCACCGCGGCGGGGATGTGGAAAACATGCGAGAAATCCATTGAACACCTTTCAATCAGAGATTTTGGTGTTCTCGTCCAGGAATGTCGGGCTTAGGGCTTGGCAAGGCTTATGGATTCCGTTAAAGGTTCGACTGATGCTGGCGGCATACGCTTGCTGTCCTTGACATCACGATGATGGCACAGGTGCTGCCACAACCATCATAGCAATCTGAGGCTAAAGCGGAGACCCAAAGGCTCTTGGTAGTGACAGTACTCCCAGAGGTCGATTTTCCGAAAACTTGACTTGTGAATCCCACATCCTGTGCATCACCGCCTCAATCCTGTCCCTCAACAAGCCCGAGACAAGCCCAAGCTTTCCAAACAGAGCCAGACAACACAAGTAACACCACCCACCACCCAAAACTCCTAGAAACCCGACTTCTAACCCTAAGGATCGAAACCCAAATGCCCTAAACCCTAAACCCTAAACCCTAAAACCCTGAACCCTAAACCCTAAACCCCCTAATTGGTGAGCCCAGGGCCCGCCCCCCGTGCCTTCGGCACCACCTCCGGCGCCAGGCGCTGCGATGGGAGGAGCCAACCCGAAGCTGGTAGCTCCTGGATGCCCGGATACAAGGACCTCTACAAGTAGCACAGGGTCCCTAAACCCTAAACCCTAAACCCTATAGGGTTTTGGGGCTCATTCAGAATCTACGTATAATGAAGCATGGAGAGCTCTGAGTCATAATATTGGCAAGTTCTCAGGCTTCTGTCTTGGGAGGTGTGGGTTGTAAGGGCTGTGCGCAATATGTTAGGGTTCGGGGATTGAGGTTTGGGGCTTTAGGGGTTAAGGTTTAGGGGTTTCCGGGTACGGTTTTGGAGTCATCGGTGTGAGGCCATCAGGGAACAGTTTGTCGGTGCAAAGCAACTGTAAAGGGCTGTCAGGAAGCCGAGCATCCAACTTAAGCGGGCTGGAGCATCTAGCTTTGCAAACAACCGTAAGATCGAAACCCTAAACCCCTAAACCCTAAACCCCTAAACCCCTAAACCCCTAAACCCCTAAACCCTAAACCCGAAACCCCTAAGCCCTAAACCCCCAAACCCCTAAACCCCTAAACCAAAGCCCAAACAGGCCCTTGGAAGCCTTCGCGGCCCTGAGCTTCGTGGTGGTCTCGCTAAGGAGGGCATGCCAGCGCTCCAGGACCTTCATAAAAAGAACACTGGTTCCTTCCTTCTGAGATTCTGACTGCCATAACTCCCACAGCTCTAGGGTTTAGGGTTTAGGGTAGACTGCGGGGGAGAAGAAGATCATGAAAAGTGCTGGTCATGCTGCCGACATGTTCGCGATGATGACAGTGTGATTAGGGGATGAGGATGGGGAGAACCGACAATAATGCTGCTGCTTCTTGTCATCATCCCGATTATGGCCTAACGATGACGACGATGATGATCATGGTCAGACGATGACGATGATGACTTTCACCAAGACTGCAAGTACAAAGGTGGCCAAGGCATGCCGCCCCCGAATTTACATCGACCCTTGGGTGAGAGACCTGAAGCTTCTCTACTTTGACATATCGCCGCATTCCAGAGCCCGGCCAAGCCGCATCAAGGCTTGAGAGAGGCCATTCAAGTTGCCGCACGAAGGTGGTCCACAACGAGATGAAAAGTTCTTGCCTGTATCTGCTTTTGGAAGACACCATGTTTGTTGTATGTGTGTGTGACACCATGTTCAAGACTGCCACCTGCCGTCAATGCAAAGAGGGATTCCGAATGCACGAGCATCAATCGATGACGCGCGCAAATTCCGGTGCCGTGCAAGGCACGATTACAGAAGAAAGGAGCTGCCTGGAAACAACTGTAAAGTGTGATGCGTCCGCATCCCAAGCTGTTGCAGAAAAGAATTGGGCATCTCATGAACGTGTGGAAGCCTCTTTCACCAAATCGGTGCGATAAATGAAAACAGTGAGCCACGCCTACCAGCGACCGACCTAAGAATCGAGAGTTTCGTGATGCCCAGTCCTCAACTCAAATTCTGCCATGCGGGTCTGTGCAAGGTGCCAGCTCACAACCTCCAAAATCTGTTCGTCGACGGTCTGCCGGGTGAACCTCCAGCCCATCCTCCAGGTTGGGAGAAAAACATCACGACATCTATCTTAGCTATGTCCCTGGTTGGGCATGTCCTGCGGAACATCACAAACTGCACGACAGAAATCGAACAATCTGCCCACGACAATCGGAGGTTAGGGGTCCTCATCCACTCCAGGCGAACCACAGCAGCACGCTGCCAAAGCTCCCTGTCGAAAGCCGGAAGCGACTGACCTTGCAAAGCAGAGCAGACAATGTGCCGAGTTACAGAGACATGCAGAAGCTTCCTCTGCAGTGGAATACGAACGTCGGAGGATCTACTCTACCGAGGCTACCTGCCACAAGAAAGTAAAGCCTGCGTGTCTCGGCCTAGTCGCCTCGCAGAGCTGCCCTCACAGACCTGGTCAGCGCAGCGAAGTCCAGCAAGCTGCCTTTGAACTCCCCGACCCTGCTTTGCATCTGCTCTTTGATCTTGGTGCTGACTTCGAACCAGACCCGAAGGTCGCTGTCGCCCAGGTACCCACCCGATTCCATCCTTGCGGTGATCCTGTCAGTGATGGCCTCGGCGTACTCGAGGGAAATGCAGCCAGCCGCGGTCTGGTGGAAAAAATCCTCTAAGGTGTACCTCTCGGCAAGAGCAAGACAGAGAAATCCTTCGGCCTCGGTTTGCTCAATGACCAACGGGTGACATGTTGACTCGAGGATATACTGCAAAAGGTTGTCACCAAAACGGCCAAAGCCATGGCAACCACCCCAGTACCACCGCGGAAGACCTTTTTCGATTAGCGCGAGCATCAAAGTTGCCCCCCGGCCTTCCAAAAGACCAGGATGATGCCCCGCGCCCCGAGGAAGTGACAGCTTGTGCTGCACGAATCTCCAAAGTAGACTTTTCAGCTCGTCCTGGTGAGGCTGGAAGGTCTGCTCTACTGTTTGAACTTGCAGCTTCTCCGTGACAAAACGGATGACTGTCGTCACGATGGCATGCTCCGAAATCTCTAGAAAATCATCTCCAACCCACTGACCATCCGGTCCATCGATGTCTGGGTCCCAGAACGGATTCCTGTCTAATGTAAGAGCTTCCTGCAGGAGGGCCAGCATTCTGCCCAGCACGGTGCCGCCATCGGCTTCAACGACGTTAGCTCTCGCTGGACCGAGGCTCATTATCGCTGCCTCCCAAGCATCGTAGAAATACTGGCATGCTGAAGCATCACGCCCTCTTCGCACGAAAACCTTGTGAGCATCAAAGAGAGCAAGACGTGGCTGTAGCATCTTGTGTGGGTCTTGTGCGAAATCCAAATGAGGAAACTGCTCGAAGTTGAGGTCCCCAAGCATGAACTGCACGAAGTCGACCACGACGTATTGAAGTAAGCCTTCGATACGTCTTGGAAAGGAACAAAGGCAGTAGTAGAACCTTAGAGGAGATAGCATGATGTGCACATACCTTTCATGTTCGATTCACTGTAGGCTACTTCTATTACTCATTACAGTACTCAAGCAACGTCCACGCACTCGTTTAAATGTGAGAGATACGAGAGCCAAGTGCTGTCTTGTTCTGAGTGGTGTCAGATCAACCCTGTCCCGTTCCGGCTAGCCTTGTCCGAATAACTCCCAGTCGACATGGTCATCGTCACGGATCTCCACTCCGTCGGTGCCAATTAGCTTGGCCGCAAAGGAATCCGCGGGTGTGCCTGAGGGCGCGGGTGTATCTCAAGGCTATCATGAAGAGGAAGAACAGAACCAGGCATGCTCCGGTGCCTGGCACCTTGCACGAGCAACGAAGCTGCACCAATAGAATCCATGCAGGCTTTGTCTTAGTCTACAAGTGTACGCCGTCTTGGTGTGACCTTGAAGATAAAAACGAAACCAATAACATAAGAAAGTGAACACTGCGATGAAGATTTGCAAATGATAAACGCGAAGACAGATGACAACGAAGAGGGTGAAGTAAATACAACAAAGTATATGAAACTAAAATGGTAGCTAGGCGAGTGGAGAGTAGGTAGTCGTTTGTCGTTCGTCGTTCGTCGCTGGCCGTCAGTAAACCGCTAGTAGCCCTAGTTGTAGCAGTAGCAGGAGCAGTAGGAGTAGGAGTAGTAGTAGTAGTAGTAGTAGTAGTAGTAGTAGTGGTGGTAATCGTAGCGGCAGCAGGTGTAGTAAGGAAGTTCAGAATCCGACATCCACGCCCGGACACCAGAGTCGCCTCACCGGGCTTACGGAACAGGTCGAGCATGCGCTTCGTGACCTGGTGGCATAAGGGTTGAGGGGTGGGTTTAGGGGTTTAGGGGGTTAGGGGTTTAGGGTTTAGGGCCGTTTAGGGTTTTAGCATGGAGGGTTTTTAACAGGGTTAGTAGGTTATCAAAGAGGTTAGTATGAAGGTTACTATAAGGGTTACTACAGGGTGTAGAGGGGTGTACTTTGTCAAGGGCACCATCGAATATTGAGAGCAGACGTGCGAGCGCGTAGCAATGGAGTCCCTGCTGGGTTGTATGGTTTATAGGGGAAGCGGTTGGGGTTCCGGAAGAAGCGGTTTTGAAAAGGTTTGCGCCTAGAAGCTACTCTGCCACTCGGGAAAGAAGATGTCATCAGAATTAGCCATCTGGCATCCGACAAAATTCACTGAAATTTGAGCGGCACCAGTCTGTTTTGGAGTTTAGGCATCGTTCGTTGTGGCTCCCCCGGCTTGTCTACCTGCTCCACAACCTCCGTGTGGCTGAATCTATCCTGTGAGCAGGCGTCTTAGTTCCACCACACCCATCCATGCATCCATCCATGCCAGAACCCTAAACCCTAAACCCCGGAACCCTAAACCCTAAGCCTTAAATTCCTAGCATGCCACATTTCTTTCTTGCCCAGATCCCTCGAATACATCTTGAACCTTAAACTCTTCCCAGAACCCTGAACGAACCCTAAACATACCACATTTCTGCTTCTCACCCAGATCCTCCATTGGCTGAGGCCCTCCACCCTAGACCCTAAACCCGACACCCTAGGAACCCCGGCCAGGAAGCCACCGGCGATGTTCACTGCCGAGATGGCCACCGACGCCTCGCCGACTTCTTTTAGGGTTTCGGGTTTTAGGGTTTTTGGGGTTTAGGTCTTAGGTCTTAGGGGTTTAGGGGTTTAGGGTTTAGGGTTTAGGATTTAGGGGTTTTGGTCTTAGGGGTTTAGGGGTTTAGGGTTTAGGGGTTTAGGGTTTCAGATCAAGAGACCACGCCGAGTACTGCAGGGCCTTG